GTAATAAATTTCTGCCTTTGAACGTTGCATATCACTGACCTCCTCGACACCGGTCACATGAGCTGCTTCTCTTATCCAGTCACATCTTAAATCAGTCTTTGTATGCAAATATTAGGATGTCCCTCTCAGCCACAGAAAGCAAATGCCGGCCGCTCCAATAATACCTTGTCCATTATTTATTCTTCTCTGAGTGTTGCTCTCTCAGTGGAGAGGGTTGAGACTGGAGCGGTGCCCCATATATTACGTGGCCTCCTGACAGAGCTCTGCAGGCCTTTCCATAAATTATGGTGCTCATTTCTAACGTGAACACAATGCGTAAAATATTTATCAGCGTCTCTGGGCTCTAAAGCAGTGATAGAGAGGCGGAAGCAAACCGTGAAGCTCTTTCTCTCATTTCTGTTGACACTGCCGTCTGTGAATATACATTCTCCTTAAAAACACTTTTCAGCCTCTCTGTAATGTACATGCGATTCATAATTCACTGGAGCCTCTTTCACATATCGCTTGGCCATTTGTCAACATACTTTTCCAAGCAATTTTCTTTTTTATGCTGAAATATATGAACCTTAATATAAAATCGCTTTCTTTTTTCATCCCTATCACAAGCCAGATTATTCTCATCCTTCATGGTTATCTGTGCTGGTTGGGTTCTGGCTTCGATTTCCTCCTCTGAGTGTAACATTGGGGGCTTTTTACGTTTTACACAAATAAACAAATATGCATGGTTTGGCCTTAATATGTCTGCAAGCACATGTTAAAAGTGCAGATTAAGCATCAGAGAGAGTTTGTGGGAGGCTCTTTGTCACAGGTCACTTCATGAATCACTGTTGCTAATATGGTGTTTTTCTCATTACATTCTTGCAGTTTGTTAAGGCTGAATGTTTTTCTGCTGCTCTCATTTTCTCGTCTTGTTCTCCTTCCTTTATTATCATTTAACTTCTTGCACTCAACTTTTATTTTCCTCCATTTTCTATTTCCTTTCCACTCTTTTCTTGTCCTGTCCTTTTCTATAATTCAATTTGCCCTTCCCTTCCCTTTCTTTTCATTTCCTCTTTTCTTTGTTTTTTGTCTTTTATTGCTCTTCCGTCTTTTCTTGTCCTGTCCTTTACTCCCCTTTAACTTCTTTTCCTCATTTCCATTATTATCTTTTTTCTGTTTTCCCTTCATCTTCCTCTTTCCTTTCTTTTCCTTTGCTTCGTTCCCCCTTCCTCTTCCTATTTCCTTTTATTTCTTCTTTGCTTTATTTTCCTTTCCTGTCTTCTATTGTTTTTCCTTTACTCCGCTTCCCATTCTTTTACCTCTTACCCATTTCTTTTCTTTGATCATTTGCTTTCCTCTTTTCTTGTCCATTCCTTTGTTCCCCTTCCCATTTCCTTTGCTCCGTTTCCCGTTCTTCTTTTCTTTTCATTTTTTCCTGTCCTTTCCTCCCCTTCCTGTTCTTCTTTCCTTTGCTCCATTTCCCTTCCCCTTCTTCTTATTTTCCTTTCTTTTGTTGTCCTGTTCTTTCCTTTTTCCTTTTTATTTGGTCCTTTCCTTTCCTTTTTCTTTACCGTTCCTTTCCTCTTTCTCATTCTTGTCTTTACTTTGGCTTTACTCTGTTTCCCCTTCAATTTCCACTTTCTTTTCCTTACCTTCCATTCTCTTCCCTTTCCTTTTCCTATGTCATTGTCCATTTCCATTTCCCTGTTCTGTAGGTTATAGGATCAGGCTGGGATCAAGCACAGATAAGAAGGACACAGGCCGGCTGCATGTAGATTTTGCTCAGGCTCGAGATGACCTGTACGAGTGGGAGTGCAGACAGCGCATGCTGGCCCGGGAAGAGAGGCACCGGCGCAGGATAGAAGAGGACCGCCTGCGGCCCCCCTCGCCGCCCCCCATCGTCCATTTCTCTGAGCACGAATGCAGCCAGTTAGGAGAAAAGCTCAAAGGTGGGATATGTGACGTGTCATTCTTCTGTCACAGTGATTTTGTTGCTTTTGTCTGTCACACCTCTGTTGTTTCCTGATGCTTGTGAAGAGGCTCCTACAGTCAGTCTGCCTGTTGGCTGGATGCATCAAAAAGCTATTTGTCTCTTTGAGTTTGACGTTCCATGCGGTTTAATAGAAACCATCTGTTTTGCGAATGCATCTCGATTCTCTGTCTGAGAGAGAAAAGTGTATTATAGAGAAGCTTTTGAGATTAAATCAGTTGAAATTAGCCATGTGTATTAACCACTTTTCCATATGTAATGGTTTATATGCAGTGGGAATGCAGTTCTGCTCACTTTTCTCAGGTAATAGATGAAGGGACGAGAGGACAGGATGATTTTGCATGCTGTTTGCTGCAGAAAATCTCAACGGCATCCTTATATCTGCTAGATTTTTCTGTATAATCAATCAATGTTGGGCAGTTTTTGAGAATTATTTTTGAATCCGTTAGTTCTGACTTATTGAGTCTAAATCAGATAAATGAGCAACCAAGTCTGATGGAGAGGGATTTCAATTTGATGACACATTGATGCAGTCTTAAAAGGGTTGATGGATTATTTGTTTAAATTATTTGACAGTGTTTTTTGATTATCTGTAGTTAGGACTTCCATAAATAAATCAAAGCCCCCTAGAATTCTCAGGCAGACATGTGTTTGTGTGCTTTACAGGATTACAGCAAGAAGAACAAAATAATAATTATTATTATGTTTGTCTTTTTGTTGTTGTTTTGTAAAGTCAGTCATCTTCGGTGTGCAGACAGCAACATTGCTTCATCTGTTGCACAGTTAACGCCAAACAGCTCAGCAAATCTCTGCCAAACTCTTCTTTTTGTTTTGTTTTTGTTTTTGTTTTTGTGTTTTTAATTTGCGGATTTTAAATAAACTCAACAACACTAAAGAATAATAGATTTCTGGAAGAGACTCCCTGTGGCATTCATTACAGTGATTTTCAGTTTTCTGTTTCTCATCTCATTCCCAGCCGAAAGTTGCAAGCCAAAGCTTTGTAGTTCGGAGCAATCAGCTTGACTGTTTTCCGTTCTCCTGCACACACACACACACACACACACCTGTGTGTCTCAGGACTTCATGAACAACTGAATCCATTTTTTAAGTAATATTACCACTTTTAACAGAAAGCACACAATAAAATCCGTGAGTTATGATTGACAAGGTTTGATCATCCAAACCTGTTGCATGCTGTCGATGTCCGTCCCTGTCCTCTTGTCCTCTCCTAAATGTCCTCTACTTTGCTAGTGTGCATTCTCTGTCTTTTTTGACCCAGTAAACATGTCTTGCTAATACGTTTTGACACTAGAAGGTCCCAGATGAGAAGTGTTCCTCTCCAACATTGTACTCAGCTCTCGTCCCACCATCTGTTTCTCCCCCACCGTTTTTTTCTTTCTGCACTCAGACGACTCCAAGTTTGCCGAGGCCGTGCGTGTCCTGCTGACCTGGGTGGAACGAGGGGAGGGAAACCGCAGAAACGCCAACAACATCTATTCCATGATCCAGTCCTCCAACAGCCACATTCGCCGGCTGATGAACGAGAAGGCCGCCCATGAGAAGGAGATGGAGGAGGCCAAGGAGAAGTTTAAGAACGCCCTTGCTGGGATTTTAGTACAATGTGAGTGTTACAGATGTTGCTTCTGTCTTAAAACCTAGCAAGCTGCTTACCCAGACAGCATTTTTGGGCATCATGAGCACATTTGCAACGCACTAGGCTTGGAGAAATGTTAAATTACTGATGATAAAATAACTGTTTACTACTACAAAAAAAAACAAGAAAAAAATCACTTTGGGGTTTTCAGGCACTCAGACACATAAAAGATTTCCAAATAGAGCTGGAAATTATTTTTAAAAATGCTGTTTGAGGGGTTGAAACGTTGATTCAAATTAGTATTGGATTTTTGGGCTTCTGCTGATTTCCATTATTAGTGGTTGTGGATTTTACATGAATTATGATAGCTCACAGATCAGAGCTCTGCTGTAATGAGACCCAATTGACCCAATCGCAGCTGGTGGCTGTAGATTTGCATTTCTCTGAGGCATTGCACAAACCCTGAAATGATTTCACCTTTCAGAGCAAATGTAAGGGCAAATACATGACCACTGACTAATACAGAGATTTGATAACACATTTCACACATCTTCGGGTGGTTATTTAAATTTTATACGCCACAATTCACATTTAGAACAGTTAGGCTTTATATATGAAAATGTGTGATCAATAACTTGATAAACAGTACCGTTCAAAAGTTTGGAGTCAGTAAGACTTCTTGAATTTTTTGAAGGAAATGTCTTCTGCTCTTTGCATTTATTCGCAAAACAATACAGTAAAAAAGTAATTTTGTGAAAGTTTATTAAAGCTGAATTTTCAGCATCATTATTGCTGTCTTCAGTGTCACATCATTCTAATATGCTGATTTGCTGCTTAAGAAACATTTCTGATTATTATCAATATTTACAACCAAACTAGAAACTAGAATAGAAAAACAGCATTTATTTAAATAGAAATCTTTTGCAACATTATAAATGACTTTACTGTCAACTTTGATCAATTGAATGCATCTTTAAGTATTAATGTTTTGCAAAAAAAAAAAAAGTATTTTCAACCCTAAATTTTTGAATGGTAGTGTATGTCCATCTTCTAAATTGGTTTTGTTGATTGTTCAGGAACAATTTGTGTATATTTCTTCACTATAAACCATAGGTATCACTTTATAACTTTTATTACACTTAGTGAGCATTATCACATTCTGTAATTTTTAACAGATCATTAGAACTGCAGAGCAGCTCACATCAGGACTAAAAGCTTCTTGTCTGAAGAGCCCAGTTGTGTGACGTCAGCGTAGTTTCATCCATACTATCAGACACAAAAGGAAGCATTCAGTAAATGGGTGCTGTCAGCTACCGCATGATTACACTTCACTTCCTGCCATCATGATAGTGCGCTCAACGCAGCAGTGCTTTGTACTTGATTGATCCAATGCCCAGAGAAATGGAAATACCACTCACACACATATAGTTTCCTTGATGCATGGCCAGGCGTAATGTTCAGTGTGCTTTTGATTCAATGTGTGGGGGGTTGTGGCCATATAGAGAGAATATTTCATTGAAATGCAACTGGGGTTCAAGAAATGGAACAAAAATGAATACAGACTTATTGAAAGGTCAAGGCAGAGAAAATCTTGCCTTGAAAATTAGAAATTTGCAAAACAAAACAAAAAAGTTAGTGTGTTTGAAAATCATACATATGCATCTGTTGAAGAAAGTGTAATTAAATGTTCCAGCGTGGCGTGTATTTACTGAAGTACCAGCAGGAGGCATTCAGATGTATTCATTTAGAAAGCTACACTTTTGAATGCAATGGCAAAGGTTGTTTTACTGTTTACTCTAAGAAAATCTGCCCAACCTTTGACCTCAGAAGCAGTTTACGCTTTGCCGTCAGTTACTTTTACACTGCAGCTTTTCCACGATTGGGTTTTATAGTGTTCACGCTTTGAACTGAGATCAGTGTGGACCAAAGGTAAGTTCTCCAGACGCCTCTACCACTTTGAGCTGAATGCAGAAGAAGGTAGAGTATGTGAAGCATTAGCGCACAGCTACAGGCCTGTCATCTGTAACCTATCAGGCATGTGTAGATCATTTAGCTGCTTAGTCTCTGGACAGCACACCTGATGACCCTTCATAGATTAAAAGTAAGTAACTCCAATCACTAGATTGTCATGACTAGCTTGACTGATTGCTCACATAACCTTGACTTGAGCTTGTAGAGAATCAGATACACTTCTGATGACATGCCACTCAACAATGCACATATGCATAGGCTTTTAACTGTTCCATAACACTTTCTGTGAAACCTGTATGTTTGATGCATGATAAAGGTATTCACAATTCCTCATAATGTACTACCCTTCAGATGTTTGGGGTCTTTCTTTGGAAAGTAATACATGGACATATAAATTGTTTAATAAAAATGGCAGTAAAGACATTTATATTGTTATAAAATACTTCTATTTCAAATAAATGCTGTTCTTTTGAACTTTCTGTTCATCAAATAATCTTGAAAAACATCAAATAATCTTGATAATAAAAATAAATGTTTCTTGAGCAGCAAATCAGCATATTAGACTGATTTCTGAAGGATCATGTGACACTGACGACTGGAGTAATGATGCTGAAAATACAGCTTTAATCACAGAAATAAATTATATTTTAAAATACATAAAAATAAAAAAAAAAACAGTTATTTTAAAATGTAATTTATTTAATCAAAAATACAGTAAAAACAGTAATTTTGTAAAATAAAATTACTGTTTTTACTGTATTTTTGATTAAATAAATGCAGCCTTGGTGAGCAGAAGAGACTTCACTCAGAAACATAAAATCTTATTGACCGCAGACTTTTGAATGGTAATGTATGTATCTGTGGAAATTGTCTGTATCTGGATATTGTAAGATGTGTTCAAACCACAAAAGCCTATTTTTAGATGTAACAATATTCCATTTATAGTTCCTTGTTATAGCAAATATATTATGAATAATTCATTGAATTATTTATTATGTTTTATGACTATGCTATAAAATAAAGATACAAGTGGTGAACAAAGGGGGGGGGGGTTGTACAACTCTGCACAAAAATCAGTGCTTTTTCTTTGCAGGTGACTCTGTAACAGTTGTTTTTAGAAAGAAATCGTGGAGAAAGCATGAATGTTAAAGTTCACACCACACTTAGTCATAAAATTAGTCATATTGGCTTTGCAGACTTGCCAGAAAAATCCTTTATCTTTGTGTTTGTTGAATAAAAAGTGAATAATCTGTTTTGTATATATATTATTCAGTAGAATACCTCATGTGAGTCTTTCCCTATAATGCACTATAAAACATTATAATACTTTCATGGTAACACCTTTAAAGAGTAAATGCACAGAAATGTGATGCAGATCATAGAGTTTAATGCTTCATACTCTTGAAAGTGTTATAACCATGGTTAAAGTATTAACAAGAACATATAATTGATTATAAGGTTGCATTATAAGGCATTATGAATTATTCTGCATCAATATACAGGTTTCATAGAAAGTGTTACTCCTCCTATACTGACTCGGCTGCTATTATTATTGATACGATTGGAGTTCCTGGTCCAGTCATGGTTCTCCGTCCCATGGACGTGAAGATCAGGAATAATGCTTGATTTATGAGTGATGTCATACAGTAACCTGACCCAATTTGAATGTCATGGTAAGTTTCTGGATATCCCTTCACAGTCACCACTGCACAACACCACATCACTGATGTCTGTCTATCAGAGCATTGTGCCACATACTGTAGTCGCATCCATCCTGATGGCATATAGAGATGGAGTTTCACAAGCATCCGCAGACATAAACATATTTTACGACTCTTCTCTAGAGACAGGTTAAAATCCAAGGGAGTTGTATTGTTTAGATGAGACAAATCAGCACCTTCCCAGAGATACAGACTTCATCTGCCAGAATATGTCTTTTCTCTTTGTTTGTTTGCTTGTGTTTTCCCTTATAGATATTTCCTTCTGAAGCCTGTCAGGTTATTCTAATGGGTTTAGAACCTCTGCTTGAGGAAATAGTGACAGTACTGATGTTCTACCAAGCCTGCTCGAGCTGTCTGTCAGAGTTATCTTCTATCAGGAAAACTAGCTACAGATGTTCATCAGAAAGGTCATGTCACCTTAAAAGCACCTTCTAGTAGCTTCCCCTAGTATTTAACACTGTCCAGCCTTTTATCTGCATGCAGCAGATACAAAAACAACAACAAAAAAGAAGTATCTGGCACTCTAGTGATGTCTGCACACGTGCAGAACACGCAGAGGAGAGAAAGCATTGTGACAGTCCAGCATCTGTCTTATCTGAACGCAGACAGAACTCACAGCAAAATAAATAATGAAATGCAGGATACCGCTAAAAGCTTGCTGGGGTTGCAGCCCTGCAGGATGATACAGCAGCAGGTTGTCGCAGTGGCAGGTGGGACTCGGTGACAGGGGAATTCTGGGTAAGACTTTTCCAGCTTAAGACGGTGGATTCCGGCTGAGACGGCAGACGGGTGCTGTCACAAACCAAATCTGTATTTGCCCCATCTAATGGATGGTTTGTAGTAAAAGTGTTAATGTTTCTGTAAACAACCTAGCAAAAACAGCTTTCTTACTTTAAGACTGCATTTATTTGACCATAAATATAGTAAAAACAGTATTTTTTATTAATAACAGAAATATTACTATCATTAAAATGAACTGTTTTCAATTTTAATATATTGTAAAATGTAATGTATTGCTGTGAGCATCATTACTCCCATCTTCAGAAATCATTCTAATATGCTTTGCTGTTAGAATGTTCTAGAATGTGCTAGAATGTGAATTTGCTGCTCAAGAAACATTTCTGATTATTATCAATGTTGAAAACAGTTGTGCTGCTTAATATTTTTGTGCAAATATATTTTTCAGGATTTTTTGATGAATAGGAAGTTTAAAACAACATTTATTTGAAATGAATTTAGACTTTTTTGTAACATTATTAAAGTCTTTAAATAAATCTGAATAGTTAATATTGGAAAAGTAAGGAATTCTGCTTTGCTTTTTGCTAGAATATTTGTTTGGAAATTTGAGGCAATGTAAATGCAGACAAAGGCCAGAAACATATTCAACGTATTCAAATTGAGAAGTGAAGGCTTGATCAATGCATTGCAAGTACAGTAAGTGGTAGCTAAGCAGCACTAGTAATGCTGAGATCATGATTTCTATTCCTAGGGAATGAATGAACATAGAAATGGAAATGTATACCTTGAATGCAGCGTAAGTCACTTTGGATAAAAGCATAAATGTAAATGTCCCATATGTATCATGTTTTGTGTTACTGTGTCATAGCCTAGAACTCAAGGGGGTGATAGTGTTATCTTCAGACGTCTGTGCCATTAAATCAACATGCTGAGCAAGATTCCTTTCAGACTGTTGCTCTGCCATGACAGTTGAAAACTGACTGTAGTGAAGACCATAATGATAGCTGGCCTTGCGGCAACGCTGAGAAGAAACATGTCCTTGATTTGCATTATGAACTTGTGAATGCAGTCCGACACATTTCGTAATGATGCATGAAATCAAGCTTGCACAGCTAGAGGCTGTTGTTTTGGCCTGAATCAGACACAAGTTTAACTATTACTACACCATTTTCATTTGTGAATAGTGAACATGCAAAACTACTGACACTTTGTCATGACAGGGTTGCTGAACATCAGACTGAAAACAGTGCACACTTACACACACCTACACAACCTGCAACCATGCATACACTCAGGCACATGCTCTCCGTCCTGGCTTTGCCATCGATCTCTTCCATCAAATTAAAGGATGCTGAAGTCACCATCGATCGGGCCTCTCTCACTCTTGAGCATGCCTTTGCTGCAGACAGATGTGTTTGGCAGCCTTCCTGACTCCCCAGGGTTTATTAAGCCCCTCTCAGGGAGAGAAATGGGATCTCTGAGTGAATCTGCGTAGGTCACGTTATACCATCAGTAATGATGTCATGCATCCATCAAGCCGCTGGCACCATATGTTTTTGTCTCTCAGTCCTGCAGTTACATCACTTAGGCTGATGGATGCTTTGATGTCATTTCCCAGACACTTTTTTTGGATCCATGATGCATTGCACATGCAGAAACTCTTTGAAATATGATATGATGGTCTCAAATGATCTAGTCATGAGAGTAGCTAGTTTAAAGACTTATCGGATATCACTAAAAGTAACAGGCACACTGAGATTTAAAATAATAGTACAGTTGATGAAGTCTAGAGGACAAAACCTAGTGAGATGCCTCGCTGTCTGTTTCCTTCTGAAGGGCCGTTCACACTGACAGTGTTAAATAGCGATAAACCAACCTGAAGTCATTTGGGTTCAACAAGAATTGGCAATTTCCAGTGATATATGGGAGACAGTGAACGTTGCGATGCAACAAAATTAAGAAATCTTGTGCAAAATAACTGAAATTGAATTTTTTGGAATGTACCAACCTTTGCTTTAGTATTTTGCTAATATAAGAGCAAGACATCATAATTAACCAACACAAAAAAAGGCATCACAATCACAAACTAGTTGGTAAAGCACTCCATTCTTTGCATTGATGTATTTTACTGATATTTCTCGAAATTTAACGTAATACACTACCTTTTGAAAGTTGAGGTTGGTAAGATGTTTTCATGTTTTTTGAAAGAAGTCTCTTATGCTCACAAAGGCTGCATTTGTTTTAATAAAAAATACAATACAAACAGTAATATTGTGAAATTATATTATGATTTAAAATAGCTGCTATATTTTAATTTTAATTTATTCCTGTGTTGCAAAGCTGGATTTTCAACATCATTAACATGATCCTTCATTCTAATAAGCTGATTGGCTGCTTAAGAAACGTCCACATTTTTGAATGATAGTGTATGTTTTGCCTTGTCGTCCACCCTTTTGGATGATGATTTTTTTTCTCTACAAAGGATACGTGTGGTGCTGCCTTACGTTTAGGGCACAGGAATGTGCATAATTATGCTGCCTGCTTTTTGGTTCAGCTTTCATGTCATTAGCGCACTGATGTTACCTCAAAACACCATCTAGGTTGGCAGATTGCTAGCTTTTGGAACAGAGTTTATGTCATAGATGTCAGAGCAGCACATTCTATTAGCAGCTGTGATTCCAGCAGCTGTTCCCCTTTCGTCCTGCGCCTTCCTCCTGTCTTGCATTCTCACAGGAACTTGCTGCCATGTATCTCGAACATCCAAAGCACTCACACCCCCAAAATAGTTGATTGACTGCCTCGTCTCTTAATTCTGAACAGATGACTATTTCTGGAAAGTTTGCTTTAATGAGTTTACATAAGTGAGACGTCCTCTCTAATCTATACACACTGAAGTAATGAGCCCAGCCTGTCATAGATGAAACATTCATCTCATTAGGCTTCCACTTGATGTACTCTTAAAATACAGGAGATGCTTTGACTATCCGGCAAGCATGAGTCGATGAAGGGGAGAGGTGTGTTGTGGTAATTGAGAAAGAAGAAACATGAGATGGAACAGTTGATTTCAGGTAATGCTAGGGAATTCATTATTCTGCTGTTTAATCTTCCCAAGAGAGTCTAAAAATCTGTCATTATTGACTCACCCTCATGTCATTCAAACCCTGTAGGATTTTCTTTCTTCCACAGACCACAAAAGGAGATGTTAGGCAGAATATTCCAGCTGCTGTTTTATTGCATTCAACAACAGTCCATAGCTACCAAAGAAGTTCAAAAAATAATTAATCCAAAAAAGAAAATTGTCATCGTTTACTCAACCTCATTTCATTCCAAGCCTGTATGCCTTTCTTTATTCCATGGAACAAGAAGATATTTTGAAAAAAATGTCTCAGTGTTTCTTAGAATGAAAGTCAGTGGGGTCTAATGTTGTTTGGACCCCGACGTCTTTCACAATATATTTTGTGTTCTACAGAAAAAAACGAAAGTAATACAGATTTGGAACGACATGAGTGTGAGTAAATGATGACCGAATATTCATTTTTGGGTGAACTCTCCCTTTAACATGATTTGTTTTTTTTAAAGAAGAGACAGAAATGTAATCTCATCCCTGTAGATACACCAATCACCCCAGCTCAGTGTTTATGCTGTATAGAGGGGGGTAGGGGAAAACAACATCACTTCCTTTCAACCTGACACAAATTTTTTCACTCCTCTGCACCTTCCCAATCGCCCCTCTCTCTCTTTCTTTCTTTGGACGCCCATACTGGCCCCTGCATCCCCTGCCACAGTTGAGCAGATTGTGTCTGTATTCCACGCTGCTTCCAAACAAAAGGCATGGGACCATTTCTCCAAAGCCCAACGCAAGAACCTGGACATGTGGCGAAAGCAAGCAGAGGTTGGTGTTTTCATCTCTTTAAGTGAATGTGTTCATGCTTCACACCTTCAGAATTAAATATGCAGTATATTACTAGTATTTTCCAATTCCCCTTCCCTGCAAGCTCCCCATGAGTACTTGAACTATCCTGAAGTCTGTGTATTTTCTTTTGAGTTGAATGTTAATGGTCTAAATGCTCAGCTCTCCATGGTTGTAAAATGTGACCCGAGTCTGACCCTGAGATTTCAGCGGTTCACAACCGGCAGGTAACATTGAGTCTTTCCTGATAGAAACAATAGAAATGCCAATATCTCAAATCATTGGTACTCCAAAACCCCCAAAGCTCAGTAAAAGAGATATTTCTTCTCTATTAGTGGAAGCTGGACACAGATACTGTAAGCTAATTAATGAATCCACATTTTTGTTGTTGAAGTGTTTTTTTTCTGTGTCTTTCCTCTGTTTTCTGTGGTCATTAGGTAAGTTTTAAGACATCTCTCTGATTATTAGTGTTTAATTAGCACGTTAATTCCCATTGCTGGCAACATTAAAACACTGTTTTACATGGATCAGAGGGTTGATATTGTTTACATCTAATAAAACTGAGAACTCCTGCTATGATGCAAATGATGAGTATGAAATCAACCAAGGACTGGACTGTCCATGTGTCATAAAAACAAGTTCCTAGAAGCTTACAGTAATTAATTCTCATGGCTTTAAATAAAACATGAATTTGTATCTATTGCGCATGATTCATCAAAAAAATAATCATGTTTGTCTGCATAATAGCACATGCTAAATGATTAAAAAAAAGAAGCAAGATGCATCAAGATGTTCTAGTGGGTAAACTTGACCTTCAGCCTCCTTAAAGTGTGTGTTGGAGAACGGTAGTAATCTACAGTCAACAACAAACTCGCATTCAGGTCTGACTTTGTTCTAGTATGTAACGGCCACTTTTAATGATCCAATCAAATGACAAGCTGAAGCCCCATCCTTCCTTTTTTCTAGTTGAATTTTGTGTTTCACTACGGATGGCTTGCAAATGTTGTTTCATGCTCAGTTGAAGCCATTGGAACAGCTTAAAGATGCAGGTACTGTAAATGCCGAAAGAGTCTCCTCACTGTTTAAGGTAGGTGTTTAAAATGAGTTGCACCATGTCCCAAATAATCCTTTATAGTTTCCTATCTCATAGTTGTAATTCATTTTCTCTCATTCATTCCTGATATACTTCTTAATTTCTGTTGAGCAAAAATTTAGTCATCAGAAATGGACGTTTCCATCAGAAACATCACAAAATTTCATCCATTTTCAGCCTATTGTGAATCACATTAAGACAATTTGCTATTACTGCCAGTTAGTGCTTTGTTAACTTCATGAACTGAGTCCTTGATTGACTGCCTTATTCGAAATTTTAAATGACATTTTATCTGATTTGTCTCCAAATGAAATATTTACATGTAGAGTTATTTTAACACTTACACTGTTCTTCATCTGTGAAAGGAGCTTATTAATGCTGCAGTAACTGTGTCCTTATTGAGTCCTTTCTTTTATTGCGTTCCTCTTATTTCACCTCTTTCATTTCTCCCATCAGATGACAAGAAAGGGTATGCAACAACCCAAGAAGCTGATGTAGTCCTCACTTGCTGTTTTCATCCTCCAATCCCCTCATTTGCCCAATGCCCTGGCCACTTGACTTAAGTTGAATTTGTTTAGACTCAGATATGAGCTTCTTCTCACTCCCGGGTTGGCATTGTGCTTTTAGCGTCACCGTGGCTATGACAGGAAGCTCTCTATGCTGTCACAATGAGGTGAAGCCTCATTTGAGAAGAAGAGAGAGTTAGCAGGCCTCTCTCACCTTTTACATTATGAGCCGACCTCAAAACTGTCAGAATCCCTCTAGTATGACAATGCAGGGCTTCAGGGATATGGCAAGCTTTCACAAGCCTTTGAACCTCACACTCGAAATGTTTATGTTCTAACAGAGCCCATTAGTGCCATTTAAACATCCTCTGCTGTAGGAGGAGGTTGCTTCACTCCCGAATCCGGTTAGTTATCTCTGGAGCAGGTGACAGTAAGTGATAGGTAATAGATGACACACTATTAAACTATGTTTACTTTGCTTCTCACCCTTGGAGCTGTTTGGACCCTCGCTGCGCTTCTCTCGTAAATGTGATGGTAAGATGGCGGCGTCGGATGAGTAGTTGACCCAGAGCTACATTCAGGCTTAGCGGAATTTAGAGGATTTTCATCCTCATTTCCTTGAGCTCCCCTGCAAATTTTCCTGGCTATTTCTTGCATAAACAAAGCTTCAGTAAGTGTTGGTTCTGAGACAGAAATGTCCAGTCAGTATTGCGGGTTCTCCTCGCTTCAAGCTGATTGTTATTCCAAGCAAATGGGTATTTGCAGTTGCCTAGACGACCTTAATTCAGTCACAGCCCATTTATACTTTGGGCAGCTAGACGTCCTGTGTTAAAGATTGGAGAAAAGTTTAAAGCGGGAAAGCTAGCTGCCTTCCTGCAGTAGCCCCATAACATCTATCCCTCTCCTGATTGGGCAGATGGGCCTGTTTGCTTTCACGCTACCTGCTCGACCTCTGTAATTCTCAGTGAGATCATGTGTTGCTATGCTAGACAGATGGTAATGTTTATGCCGGGCCTTTTGTTTGTTGTCAGGGAGTAAGTCTCTCTCTCCCTGTGGCGGTCATGTTGTGTCTTTGCACAGCCTTATGCGATTGCTGTGTGCATGCCTCATTAGGCGGAGAGCTCCCCCATCAGGAGCGCCCACAGGGCAGCGTCCATGCCTAGACATCTGCTTCATCTGCCCGGTCCTGCCGATCTGTGGTGGCTGTGCAATCACTTCCTGCCATGTTTAAGCCCCACTGGCAGCCATTATAACACATTAAGAGTCCTTGTGCAATGTTTGACTGCGCGCATAGACAAGGTCGGCCAACATCAGGTGTCTCTCTGCATCGATACCATTGGAGCAGCTCCGCCTGCTTTTATAGCACTTGACGAGTCCAATCTCTTTTTTACAATCTGATCGAATGGCTTATTACATTTCCGGCTCATATATTTCATGTGTGAGAGATCATCCAGCAGCGGTTGGGATTATAGACTCTATTCCTCTCATTCACAGGAGATCAGAAACATCCACAACGAAGAGCTGATGGGTATTCGGAGGGAGGAGGAAATGGAGATGTCAGATGATGACATGGAGGACGCCCCGGAAATCAAGGATTCGGATGATTCAGGTATCCACCGTTCTAGATTGACAGTCTATAAGCAAAAGATAGGAATTTTTCTTAAAGCAGCACAAGCGGTACTTCCTCATTGTTTTAAAGAGGCTTCTGTGCACCAACCGCATATAGATTGAATCCACTGGTGATTCGTCAGTTTTATGAGGAACCTTTTCTCAGATCACACAGTGCTGATACATGCAGATAGAAGCAATAACCAGCTAATTTTCACAGTATAAATGAAGAGCGAGAAAAGAATTGAGCTTCATGGAAAGCTCCGACTGTTTAATGACCCTTGATACAGTATCTGAATTCAGACTGTGTAACGCAATTTTCTCCAACTTTTTTTCTTTTTTTTCAATAAACATTCCCTCGGGAACTAATGAAGCTTATATAATTTGCCTTTCCTGTGAGACCTCAAAGTGGTTTTGAATCTTTTTGCATCAGAAAACAATTTTGACATAAATATCAATTACTGTGTGTGGCTTTTTTTCTCACAGCATAACCAGACCTGTGAATTCTTATATCTTGAGTTTAAAACTTATTTATGCATACATATTTATTAATATGTGCACCACCCACATGAGCAATAGGCCACGGCTCCAATACCAGCATGTTATATTTATGATTTTACTTTCTCATGTGAGCAAATTAAATCAAATCTGTCTGTGGGCATCCAATTCAATCGTGGAGGAACAGTGTAATTTTTGTATTACTATTCCCATAACCCCCTGTGGTTTTCTGAATGTGGTGCTACCGAGCTGAGCATTAGTCTGTCAGCTGTTCTTCCAGTTCATTTCAGGTTGCCTGTCACAAAAAAAACTGCTGTTAGAGAACTTGTACTATTGCTGCTCAGGACAGAGAATCATGGGATAGCGTAAAATTATCACTGTGGGACGCCATTGTCTTTTTTGGCATCTTGAGACCACTTAGCTCACACACAGTCCCTCACACACCCTCTTTACAGTCAATTTGAAGTGAGACCCTTGTTAGCGCCACATATGTGCCGCTCAACTCATGAAATTTGAATACAACTATTAGAGATTCTCCAGTGTAACAGAGAGTCCCTCATTAGTATGAAAATATATGCAAATGTAATCATACATTTTACCAGGTTTGATTCACGCGTCTTCTCAACTGTGACCTTAGTTATTAGAAAACAATGATAACAATCACTGTCAGTGGGTTGTCAGATATCTGAAAGGATGTCACAGGATCAGGGCAGGAGATCCACACGGTTAATGAAGGAGGTAATTCAACACCTCATATTTGTTCATGAAAACAAATATTTCATACCTGCCAGTAAGACGAGCAATCTCCGTAAAGAGGGGGAGTGGCTTATGCTAACCTCGGTGTGAGTTTTAGACATATTAACTAGGCAGATTCACCTCCATCTTCACTGCAGCCCAACATGTTTGCTTTTATTTTCGCCCAGAGTTAATCAATGATAACGGGCAAGTGTCCTCTGACAATAGCTGTAGTACAGTGTGCAAACGGGAGCTGCTTTCTTTACTGTCAGCACCCCTGGGCAGCACAGGTCGATAGAGCTGCCTGCCGTGTTGTGGAAGGTGAACCGGACGCTTCGAGGCCAGCGGCTTGATGTGACGAATCAATAAAAACTGCTAGCTTTCCTCCCTTTCTGTCTGTGTCTCTGTATCTCTCTCGCTCTTGTTCTCCGTCTCTCTATTTCTTTCCCTTCTAATTCACACCAAACATGCTTCCAGACAAAACACAGAATTGGTAACATGGCAGCTACCATCATAAAGGATGTGTTCTTGCGTCCCACGTGAATTGCCATTCCATTGTGCTCGGTCTAGCGCAACAGAATGGCCACTCCGCAAATTTCACGGGTCTCAAGAGCCATTTTTCAAAGATAAACTACCTTTACCAGCACATAGCATGGTAAAAATGTTGCACTTATGCTGTAAGATATGTTTACATAGACAAGCGATTAAAAAATGAGTCAAAGTGAATGATTCAGATGCAACTCTGAACGTCGACTTCAACACTTGACTTAAGAGACTTGACTCAATTGATTCCAATAAAGTGACATTCTGGTGAAATTTTGCAGAGCAATAAAGGTCCATGTCTGTTGTCAATGAATGATCACACACAAGTCACAACCCAACTTTCTTTTGGTCAACACAGCAAATTTGTGTGACCAACTTAAGCCACTGCGAAATCTGCATGAGGAAATCTTTCGCCCTCACGCAAAATTCCAGAGTGCTTGGATACCTGTTGGAATTGATCCTTCGCAAAGACCCGCCCCCCTTAGTTACTGTTGCTACGTCTAACAAGCCATGGCGCTCTCTCGCCACACATCATGTTCTCAAACAGTGAAAAATACATTGCGGAGCAAAGAGGGCACTGACAACGTGACAAGACAGAGCAGGTTACTTTTTGTATGAAACAAAGTTTTGTAATTTTTTAAGAAATTCAAACAATAAATACCATTTTGTGGCTCTTTAATGTGTGGTGACAGATTGCTGTAGCGCCTCAGGTCAAGCGGCACGTGAATCAATCATCTCTTCCTCTGTTCTAGTTATAGCACGAAATAAACACGAATGAACATCAGAAGATATGTTGTTTCAACCACGGAAAGACATCAATACACGCTATTTTTCAAGTTCAAGTCCACCGATGTTAATCTACTCTCCTGTCTGGTTTGTTTGTCGGACAAAATGGCAGATTCTGTGTTATGATTGGTCAGATCGCCTGTCAATCAAACTCCCAGCGAAGGGTGAATTCCCCTGCGAAAACTTTCAGAGATTGTTGACGCATGACACTCTAAGCATAAAAAAAAAATACAAAGCGCATACAAATGCTCTGAAAGATATATATTTTGAAACTATAATGAACTGTTTCATCAGTATCTCTAAGTATTGAATGAAATGCGAGTATATTTATAGTCAATATTTCTCATATCCTCCAGCTTGGATCCAAATTCTGAGATTGTCTTCTTCATGAGGGATGCATTCATTGTTTCCCTTTGATTTCGACCAAAAAGAGGTATCTTAAAATGCAGAATACCATTGCTACATTTAAAATGCAGTCTGTTTTGGAACAGAGCTGAAACAGGTAATGATGTGTTTCCCTGCAGACTTCATAGCTGAACCTGGCTTTCCTTATCTTCCACCCACGTCACTCAGACGCTCATCCTCTCCCTCTTCATAAGCAAAGATCCTTCATCAGCCTCACGATCAGGCGCCCGGCTGTTCCCCCCTCTCCCTGCCCAATCTGAGAGGGACACGCTTCTCGGCATAATCCCGTTATCTCCTCCCGCTAGACGCGGAGCAGAGGTGGCGTCTCTGATCATCGGGTTGTTAAGAGACGGCTGAATGACGGAATGTCTCGGTGTGAAGAACCCTTTTGCGTCCATTTTAATTACAGTCGTTTGATAACAACACCCATGGTACATTAAGTCAAGCATTAAGTAATAGACTTTCTCTCCATTTAATCCTCTCTAATTAGCCTCTGAAAGCAAACCGAACGCAGCAGTGGTACTGAGGGTCCTTTCATCTCGGCCCATCAGCAGAATTCTCTAAGCAGCTTTTGAGGAACACTGTTTTCTTCTTTCATTTGACCCTTTCCAGGCCTCGCCGCCACCACCCCGTGACTTATTACTCTTCACACGACTCTTAATATGCGCCTCTTCTCTCTCTGTTCCGTTATTGTTTTCACCCCTGCCTCCTTCGCTCGTGTGTCTCTGTCTGCTTATTTCCCTTTCCTGTCGCCAATGCAATTGTCATTTTTCATATCTCTCCTACTCTCTCTCTGTGTGGCCTCTCAGGACCGCTGGCTCAGGTGGAGGCTCTGAAAGAAGAGAACGACAGTCTGCGGTGTCAGCTGGACGCCTACAGGAATGAGGTGGAGCTTCTGAAACAGGAGCAGGGTAAAGCGCAGCCCCAGCGCAGCGAGGAGGATGCCACCCGCCAGCAGCAGCTCAGCTTCCTGCAGCAGGCTCTGCAGGGCATGCAGAAGGTGCGCACACACAGTCAACACACTGTACGGCAGAAAATCATTTTCTTACGCAGTGCTTTTTGTTTCGTTTTTCAGTAAAACAGTCTAAAAATCTTTAAAATAAGGTCAATGATTTTGATATTATAAACTATTAATTTCTTTCTTCTTTTTTTTCTTAAAAAACATTTAACCTTTTAATTAAAATATAACTCAATATAACTCAGACTTCTGTCTGGCTGGTTCAATCTTACAGTCGATTGCATTTTTGGATTAAAATGCAATAAGCACAGTAATGTGAAATATTATTACAACTTAAAAGAACTGTTTTCTATTTTAATACATTTTCTATTTTAAAACATGATCCTTCAGAAATCATTCTAATATGCTGATTTGGTCTTAAGTTATTATTGGTGCTAAATTATTAATAATGGATCTTATTATTATCAATATTTTGATGCTTCATATTTTTGTGGAAACTGATACATTTGTTTCAGGATTTTTTGATGAGTAGAAAGTTCAAAAGAACAGCATTTATTTGAAATATTAATCTTTATAAATGTCTTTGCTGTCACTTTCGATTCATTTAATGTGTCCTTGCTGAATAAAAGTATTAATTTATTTTTGCTTTAAAAAAATCTTACCCCAAACTTTTGAACGGTAGTGTGTCGCGGTTTGCACAAAAAATATGAATGTTTTCAACTTTAATAATAATAAGCAATGTTTCCTGGCAAGCAAATCAGCATGTTAGAATAATTTTTCAAGGATCATGTGACACTTAAAGCCTTTACATATAGTGCGTTATACAAGTAATTTTAATGCTTTAATTCTCTCTCGTAACGCACCTTATAATGCATTGTATGATCTCATGAATAAGTGTAACCAAGGTTGTAATATATTATAGAAAGTATAATGCATTAAAATACATGACAAACAAACCTTCCAATATTATAATGAATTTTAACTTTGGATACAATTATTTATGAATGCATTATACATAAAGGCTTCAATAACGTGTTACCGAGACTTCTTTTACTAACAACAAAAAAATCGTAATTATTCTAAAGTTTTGACTGCTAATGTACTTTTTTTTTCTCACCTCAATGACAGTATTTATTTTTTTTTTTGTCTTTTAAGCCTCAATTTAGGTTGTTTAGATATTTTCACTGGCTAAAATACTGAAAAAGAAACTATTTTTTGCGGTGTTGAACTCCACGCTGAGCTGCTGGAGGTTTTTGAAGTCGTGGGCGGATGCTTGTCGGTGGTTTGGCACAAAAAAGATCTGTGCCGGTAACCAAAAAGTTGTCGTTTTAAAACCAGCATGGGGTGATCCATGAGCCGTCACTCATCTGTGTGTTTACAGTCTCACACACCTACTGTTTCCTCGCTTTGGTGAATTCGGTGTTGTTATGCGTGAGCAGTTTAACCGCAGGGAGTCCTGAGCCCAAACACCTCATTTCTGCAGATCATCCAGGTCATCAATCACACACACACACACACAATAATAAACACGAGATGTTGAACGTGTGGAATGGAAATTTCATCTGCCCACATGGGCACAAACGGTAGACGTCTCCCACCCATAAAGCACTTTCATCTCTTTTATCAAACGTTATTTTATCTTCTCTTGAGGACTGGCGCTATTTTTAGAACAGTCTTCCGCTATCGTCCTCCATTGTTCTTCGCCGCTCAGAGTGACCTAGAGATCTGAGGGTAATTTTCAGCTAGATTTGTTTTCCCAAACCGTGCAGTCACACGATACAAACTCACATGGACAGTGTCAAATCTGTCCCATGTTCTGTCTATTTTTGTATCTCTCTTTACTGTATCTATCAATAGAATACGGAGAATCCTGGTCACCCTCATCGTCGTCCTGTAAGCGCAGCAAATGCAGATGTTCCACACGGCTTTGACCTTGTCATGTGAGCGTTATTAGGCAATGAAGGAGCTTCTGAGAGGGGCATTTGTCTCACTTTGAAGGTGCGCACCTGCCGCTAATGAGCCCTGATGGGATTCTGCGTATTGAGCTATTCTCTGGCATGAGATGAACTCGCTGCACGGGTCACATCTGAGGCGTGCGCTGAGCGATTTGCTCGAGTTAGAAACGGGAGTGTTCACTGATCTCTGGCGAGCGCGTGAAGACGGCATATTATTCTGTCACATGAAGTGAACAGCGCAGGCCATTTCTCCGAGTTGAATCACTCTCAAATGGCATGCGAGGCTGCGGAGACACTCTCGCTCCTGCACTCATAGCATGTTAAACTCAACCCTCGGTCTGATTTATTCATGAGGAACAGGCCATGAAGGCAAACAAAAAGGTTACATCACCACAGTTTATGTAGCTCAGATCGCTCCTGGTTTCTGAATGCTGAGCAGGATCGGTAATGAGAAATCAGAGCAGTCTTCAGCACCTCGTGGCTTCTGATTTATTAGGCTTGTCAACAAATTAGCATGCTTGGAAACAGTGTTTGGGGAAATGTGGTATGAGAAATGTGTTACATAACGTGTTACCTGAGTAAATTGCGTTACTTCTGTTTATATATTTATTTAAAAAAAAAAGAAATCATTACATTCAATTACATTACTTTTTTGTTACATAAACTACTGTTCAAAGGAAGTCTCTTCTGCTCACCAAGGCTACAATTATTTGGTTAAAAATACAGTAAAAACAGTAATATTGTGAAGTTTTATTACAATTTAAAATAACTGTTTTTAATTTTAATATCTTTTAATGTTTAGTTTATTCCTGTGATCAAAGCTGAATTTTCAGCATCATTACTCCAGTCTTCAGTGTCGCATGATCTTCAGAAATCATTCTAATATGCTGGTTTGCTGCTCAAAACACATTTCTTATTATCAGTGTTGAAAACATTGGTGTTTAATATTACAGTAATTACTATAGTAATACTATAGAAAGTTCAAAAGAAAAGCATTTATTTGAAATAAAAATCTATTACTTTACCATCTCTTTTTGTTCAATTCAATCAGTTAAAAAATCTTACAGACCCCAGTATTTTGAATGGTAGAGTACATTTGTATAACATCAAATGTATTATTTTATTGTTTTTTTTTTTTTGACCATCTACCAGGCAAAAACTAATTTGCACACTTCTCAATAAGCCGAACAATTTGGTGTATCATTCCCGTCTGTAGCACATTGTTATCATGGGCACTTAAAAATTCTGTGAATAATTATTTATTATCCGATTTTTAGAATGCATTTTAAGAATACTTTTCCCATCGTCCGGTTAAAATGCACAACAGCACGCTGTATGCTGTGTCGAAGAGGCGCGCGCACACTCTGATGTAAACAAGCACATTCACTCTCTGACAGCAGATGGCGCTGAAGGGACAGCAGAAACAAAGCCACTGGAAGGCAAGCCTGCTACCTTTCAAGCAGGGATAGCTGCAGGCGGGAGCAGTGGGCGTGGCGAAAGGTAGGGGGCGTGGATAAAGGTTTTTCTAGGTTAGGGCATTACGTTGACCTGCAGCTACCCCTGTCTCCAACCTTTAGCCAAATAAAGAGTAACGGCTAACGCTAACACTGCGGCTTTGGCGGTAAGCAGGGAAGGAGTCCAGAGGCCTTTTTTAATGGATGTCAGTGGCGGAGAGGCTTCACTACACTGAATAAACAGCTTTTGTGAGCAAATAGCTTTTCATTTAATGAATCGACAACCTGTTCGCTAATCTTCAACATGTTTTACACTAAACAGTACTTTCGTTGGGAACTACATGTAGATTTTACTTTGATAAAAATGTTTTTTTTTTTTAGAGAACATTTACATTTACATTTAGTCATTTAGCAGACGCTTTTATCCAAAGCGACTTACAATTGGGGGATACATAAAGCGATTCTTCTTAAAGAGGCAAACAGACACAGGAAGTGGTTGTAATACCAAGTTCTTAGACATTGTTCAAATAAGTACAAGCTAGAAAGAGAAGGAATAAATAAAGAGAGAGAATTTTTTTTTTTTTTTTTATGATGAATTCAAGTAGCTTCGAAAGAGATGGGTTTTCAGCTGTCGCTTGAAAATTGTCAGGGATTCAGCATTCCGGATAGGGGTGGGAAGATCATAGGACACTCACGTGCAGCCGTCTGTCTCTTCTGTTGACTAATCGCTAATCGCCTTGAGAGAAGGCAGAGTAGGGAATGTCGCAGCAGGTAGGACTCATTTACAGCATTATTACCAGCAAATATTTGTCGCATTACTATTTAATAAAATATAGTGTGTATTGTCTAAAAATATCGTTGTTTTCTTTCCTTTTTTTTAGGTTTTACCTTTAATTGGACTTGAATTGTAATGACTATTATGTGACCATATGCCTTATGTTGATATAATACATTTTATTGAACAAAGGAAAGGACATGAATAAATAGACTTGAAATTTAATGACTTGCGACTGCTACATATGATGATGATATGACGCTTTTTAATGAATAAAGGTAAAAAAAATATTTTAAGAAATAAAAAGGTGGCGTCCAGATTTTAACAAATAAATTAAATTTATTATTAAAATATTTTTTTTTTTTAAATCAACAGAATAAAACCTAATCTTAAATTGCAGTGACCAGCAAGTCACGCTCTTTTTTTACTGTGCGACGTAAACATTGACTGACTGTCGTAGAACTGTGAAATCCTGCCACTGACGTTACTGCCATTGTATGATTGGCTGAGATGCATCACGTGATCCAAGTTAGCCGTTAGGCTTTTTCCAATAGTAAGTAATACAGACCCTCTCATCTCCCAATAATAAGACAATCTCTGGCAGAAATGCAGCCAGTAACCCCATAAACAAAGCAGCTGCGCTACTTTCTGCTTCTGAAGAGGATTTAAATGTTTTAAACAGCCATTCAGATTTTTGTGTCCACAATGGTCCTAACGCTTAAACACTTAATAGGCTATTTATTTTCAAACTTAAACAGTTGTACATTTTAATCTGGAGTACAACATACCGTTTCTGAATGTCTCTGGCACGGCAGCTCTGGAGGTCGGGGAACAGCTGTCATATCAGGTGCATACTGTTGAAATGTCTTTATGAGCTAGAGTTAATCAAATGAAGCCATATTCAACACAGACATAACACCTGAGATTGAATTATCTGATAGCAAGACGTCTCAAACCCTAGTGAGCAGTCCAACGGCATATTTGGGTATCGAAGGCTTGTCTAGGTCAAGGACGTCTACATAATACCTGCCACTATCTATCCATTAGCATTCCCGTTCATCTCAATAGCAGTTACTCAGTTGGCACAGGACGTATTTGCAATCACATTAATCCAGATAAATAAAAAAAAAAACATCTTTTTCTATGTTGTGGCCTTTCATCCACACTGAGATGGCTTTTAAAGACACAGTGGAAGTGGAGACAGTGAAAACAGTTTTCGTGTGGCGATGACAGTTGTGAGAACAGAGGTTCATGAATACAATGACATGTTTAGTCATACGGATTGTATCAATAGATATCAATGGTTGTATCGGTGTAGTTGTGCCTGCTATTTACTTAAAACAATTGCTAAAGATAAATGTTACTTTGTATTATATTCCTGCAAAGATGATAGAATATTTACTCACAAATGCTGCCCTGCCATTTTCAAATATTAAGATAGATGTCGCCTAACTTTGCAACAAACCCAGAAATTGCTAGTAAATTTCACAATTACAAAGAAACAGCAAGTAATTTGGAGTAAAATGACCTTTTCTTGTATTTTCTTGTAAAACATACTCCAGTAAGTTTTATTTATATCTGCAAAAATATTTTTTACAGTGTATATGATGTACATGAGCCAGTGGAGTTGCATCTGTCTTCTTTACTTCTTCCTTTATTTATTTTTTTTCAATCACCCATGTCTCTTACAATCAACAGTAATCACCCGATCATTCAATTAAAATCATGTAAAATGGCAGTTCCACATGAATTCACTGGCCAACTGGCAAGTAACTCTGTTTTATTTACCCACCAAAGCCCATGTTAAATCTCATTTGGCACTTAGTGAGTGTTCATTTTGGATCCTGCTTGCACCTAGCTGTGTATCAAAGGCAGCAGACCTTGAAAATACATTTCACGCTTTTAAGAGCCCTTTAAAACAAAAAAAGACAAAAAAAAATTGGGCACTGCTTGCAATACAGTATGTTTGCTTGCAAAAAAAGTAACTACTTTTGCATGGCCATCCATGCTTTTTGGGTCTAGTCCATTCTAACCAGCCATATCTTGACCTATTGGAACAGGTAGACATCTCACTAGGTTTGGAGCAAAAGCCATTGATGTTCAGACATCCTAACACTCAGTTTAATGAAGCAGCCCAAACTGGCATCAAAGCGATGCTGCACAGCGTGTTCACTTTAAATACAGATGAACTGATCTGCGTGCAGCGTCAGGCCTTTTGAGCTTCTTATAACGCTCGTCTCTCCTTATGTGTTTTTAATGTCGTCGATTTTCTTTTGTGCCGTTTCTCTAGCAACTGCTCAAGCTTCGCGAGGATCTGAAACAGAGAGAGACGGAGCTGGAGAAGAACTCGGAGGAAAAACAACAGCTCGAAAGCCAGATCCAGAGTCTGAAATATATTAGTTTAATGTTGTGCATCTTTCATCTTAGAGTTTTTTTTTAGCATTATGTTAATATAACTAAAATTTAATTGTTCTAATATTATCAAATTTTTAAATGCAAAATTCTAAAATTTTAAATGTTATAATTTTTTTTTTTTTTTTAACTGGTTATTATTAAAACCAACCAACTTATTATTAAAACCATTGGGTTAGAATATATATTAGAACGATTTAATTTTATTTCTATTAACATAGTTTAAAAAAAAAACTCTAAAAATGATGTTAATATAACTAAAATTAAATCGTTCTAATATTATAAAAAAAATTACAATTCTACAATTTTAAATGTTATAATTTTATTTTTTAAAATTAAATAATCATTTTAAATATTTTTAAACCCATCCAATTAAAACCACTGGTTTAGAATATACAGTATATTAGAACGATTTAATTGTATTTATATTAACATAATAAAAAAACTCAAAAAATTGTTAATATAGCTAAAATTAAATCGTTCTAATATTATTTTTTTTTTAATTTACAATTTTAAATGTTAGAATTTTATAATGTTTTTTTATAGTCATTTTAAATACTTTTTAAAACCACCGTTTTAGAATATTTTGTGGTGGGTTTCATCCTCAATCTTGAGCTGATCATCTCCATAATTATAGTCACAAAGAGTTTTGAATCATCTTTCTAATAATATTTCACACTTCAGTGTAGGGGTGTGCGATATATATCGTCTGCGATAATATCGTAATTGTTGTTTTAGTGTCATCTCTTTTTTTTTTCTGACCATTAATTGTCTATTAACACTGTGTTCAATTCGTGTTGACATGCACTTGCGTTCTCACGTTTGTGTGTTATGCTCTTGATGGTGTGGTATCACACAGTCTTAAAGTGAGGAAAAAATGCTCATTGTAAACTCATGCACCTTTCACACCATTCACATGTAGCTTATGTTGATGAGCAGGCCCACGTGGAATCTGCAACACATTTGAAAGATTTTTCCATGAAATGCAAAATAATCTTCAGTTTGGTTTTCTTGAAGCGTTGCAGCAGACGCTAATGAAAACTAATGGCAGCCTCTTTCAGTTAACCGCGTGTCACCGCCGCTGTCTTATTCAGGAAAACCTGGTGACTGCTGCCTAGGGGACCGTTCCCAACAAACGTGTGAAAAACTGCTCATTCATGTATGAAACTTAGGAAAAGTGACATTCAAATCAGATTTGAGTTTCAAATTTAACATCCAAAAGGTAATGACAATTGGAGAAGGCTAAACGATGCACGCCTCAAATTTGATAGCCTGTTATCTTGTACAGACAGATGTTATCTCACTTTTCCTTATCTGGTACCGTGGAGCGGATCGTTTTAGGTTAAGTTTGGGCTTTATCACCTCCAAGACTAATCATTTTGGAAATGGTTGATCGGCTGCTCATCATTCAGAGCAGGAGAAATGTCTGCATGTGGTACGGGTTTGATTGGCACTCTGCGGTGGAATTTATCTCGGCACCACTGATCCATGCTGAAGGAGGGTTCGAGGCATCAGCGTGTGCATTGATGAATCACCTGAGACAGACTCATTAATGGAAGAAATGAAAATCAATTTTAACACAGCCATTCCTCCTATAGATCTGTGCCCATCGCTTGCGATTGTTTTCTGCTGGATGGATGTGTTGTGTGTGTCATACATCAGTCTGTACGTGTACGTCTCAGTGTTTGCTCTTCCGTCTCTTGCTGTGATAAACTTCATTAATATTTCTTCTAGAATCCTAGAATATCTGTCATAGAGTTTTGTGCGCCGTCCCGAATCCGCTCACTGCATTAAAAAGCACTAAACCACGAGAGGCCTTTTACTTAACAGAAATATGATTAAAAAAAAGATGCAAATGTTCAGTAAATAATTACAACGTATTAATATTAGTAGATTTGTATTTATGTATTTATTATTTTTGTGTACTAGGACCGCCTTGAAATAACTTACTATTATTATTATTTGTGACCCTGGAGCACAAAACCAGTCTTAAGTCGCTGGGGTATATTTGTAGCAATAGCCAAAAATACATTGTATGGGTCAAAATTATTATTATTATTATTTTTCTTTTATGCCAAAAATCATTAGGATATTAAGTAAAGATCATGTTCCATGAAGATATTTTGTAAATTTCCTACCATAAATATATCAAAACTTAATTTTTGATTAGTAATATGCATTGCTAAGAACTTCATTTGGACAACTTTAAAGATTATTTTCTTAATATTTAGATTTTTTTGCCCCCTCAGATTCCAGATTTTCAAATAGTTGTATCTCGGCCAAATATTGTCCTATCCTAACAAACCATACATCAATGGAAATCTTATTTATTCAGATGATGTATACATCTCAATTTCAAAAATTGACCCTTATGACTGGTTTTGTGATCCAGGGTCACATTTATTAAATATTTATATATGTATTTTTGGACGAGATGGTGCATCTCAAGGGGTTTTTCCTAAAGAATCAAATTTGTTACCATTTATTGAGTAATTAAAATTATGTGTTAATTACAAGAATCAAAATAAACAATTTTTCCATCAAGTAATTTAGTGTTTTTAGCCTTTTATTTTATTTTAATTAGACAAATATAGAATTCCACTGATGTGGTCACAGGTGCACATACTATAAACAGTATATTTGCTATTTAAAAGTAGATTTAAACGTGATTCATCTAATCATATTTAGAGCTGAAGTTTTCCGCTTTATAATACAAACCATTTACGTTTTCTGAAGAAAATGTCATTGGTGCTTGGCCCTCCTACATGACTCTTACACAATTTTTTTTTTTTTTATTATATTCTGGTGCCCCCAGGGCCCTCAGTATGCTGCCATGAGTCACACAAAAAAGCCAGACAGAGCCTTCAATATTCTGGTATCTAGATATGGCTTAGGTCTTTCATGGGATTTCTTCACCTGTTTTATCAGAGCTAGACCAAAATCGCAAATCAGAAATAAATCACTCAGAAAAGTAATAACGCGCCTCTCCTCGACAAGCCGCGTGATTTGAGATATCTTTCATGTATGTAGCCCAGATGGTGCTAATCCAAAGTTTAATACATGGATTTATGGTTTGTTCAAATCCCTAACCATAAGCATGAGCAATAACAATAGTGATGCTTGCCTTGGCAAACGCCACTAAATATTCCGTCAGCATCAGTTTGCGTTACTAATCTCAGCCGAGCGGCTTGAAATGTCTTCCTTCACTCTGCATTTACGCTGCGCTTCATTAGAGTTTCATTGAGCAGGACGAATGCTTTGGAGCTTTGCTGCTTATTTGGCATTTAGAGAAATCCATTTGCAAACGTGACCTTTGGCACTCGGCGTGTCAGGCCTGTGATTCTGCTCCCTGCCCCGCGGTGTGTCCCGCGTCCTTTAGTTTCCCCGTGTGAATGTGTGTGAGTGTGAGTCTGTGACATATTACTCGCTGACTGCTCTCTCATTCTTTTAATTGACTAGCTGGAGACGGCCGAGCGGGAGGACAGAGGAGGCGATGAAAGCACCAATCACGCCAGCGTAAGTGAGAGACGCCGCTCTCCGTCTCTGACTCTCGTACACATCACACCTCGTACGGGCACATTCCACTTTAATGTGCCGTGGCTTTTTTTGGGGGGGAAAAAATAGAATGTTAGAACGTTAGAAGCACAAATCACACAAAAAAAGATGATGTAGTGAGATGAATATGTTAGATATGTAATATTACGTATAAAATTAGCCTTCTATGAGTTTTAAACATATCAGATGTCTTTAGTTCTCTTTTAAAATTGTGAATTTGGCTTATCACCATCAGTTTTTTTATTTTATTATTTTTACTTCTCAATATTATATACACTACTGTTCACTACTGTACGCTATTTTGAAAAAAAGTCTGTTACGCTCACCAAGGCTGCATTTAAAATTCAAAAAATTCAAAATATTTACATTCAAAATTAAAACTCTACCTATCTATCTATCTATCTATCTATCTATCTATCTATCTATCTATCCATCTATCTATCCATCTTTCATCTATCTATCTATCATCTATCTATCCATCTATCTGTCATCTATCTATCTATCCATCTATATCATCTATCTATCCATCATCTATCTATCCATCTATCTATCTATCATCTATCTATCTATCCATCTATCTATCCATCTATATATCTATCATCTATCTATCCATCCATCTATCTATCCATCTATCTATCTATCTATCTATCTATCTATCTATCCATCGTTCTCTCTCTATCTATCATCTATGTATCTATCTATCTATGTATCATCTATCCATCTATCTATCCATCTATCATCTATCTATCTTTCTATCTATCATCTATCCATCTATTCATCTATCATCTATCTATCTATCTATCCATCTATCTATCTATCATCTATCTATCTATCTATCCATCTATCTATCTATCATCTATCTATCTATCTATCCATCTATCTATCTATCATCTATCTATCTATCTATCCATCTATCTATCTATCATCTATCTATCTATCTATCCATCTATCTATCTATCATCTATCTATCTATCTATCCATCTATCTATCTATCATCTATCTATCTATCTATCTATCGTTCTCTCTCTATCTATCATCTATGTATCTATCTTTCTATCTATCATCTATCCATCTATCTATCTATTCATCTATCATCTATCTATCTATCTATCCATCTATCTATCATCTATCTATCTATCTATCATCTATCTATATATCCATCTATCTATCTATCATTTATCCATCCATCCATCTATCTATCTATCTATCATCTATCTATCATTTATCCATCAATCCATCTATCTATCATCTATCTATCTATCCATCTATCATCTATCTATCCATCTATCCATCATCTATCTATCCATCTATCTATCATCTATCTATCTATCCATCTATCATCTATCTATCTATCATCTATCCATCTATCTATCATCTATCTGTCTATCTATCCATCTATCATCTATCTAACTATCTATCATCTATCATCTATCCATCTATATATCTTATCATCAATCCATCTATCCATCTATCTATCTTATCATCTATCCATCTATCCATCTATCTATCTATCTTATCATCTATCCATCTATCTATCTATCTATCTATCTATCTATCTATCTTATCATCTATCTATCCATCTATCTATCTATCTATCCATCTATCCATCATCTATCTATCTGTCTATCTATCCATCTATCATCTATCTATCTAACTATCCATCTATCATCTATCTATCTATCTATATCTATCTATCTATCTATCTATCATCCTATCATCTATCTATCCATCTGTCTATCATCTATCTATCTATCCATCTATATATCTATCATCTATCTATCCATCCATCTATCTATCTTATCATCTATCCATCTATCATCTATCTATCTATCTTTCTATCTGTCTATCTAATCATCTATCTATCCATCTATCTATCATCTATCTATCTATCTATCTATCCATCTATCATCTATCTATCATTTATTATCTATCTATCTATGTATCATCTATCCATCTATCTATCCATCTATCATCTATCTATCTTTCTATCTATCATCTATCCATCTATTCATCTATCATCTATCTATCTATCTATCCATCTATCATCTATCTATCTATCTATCTATCTTATCATCTATCCATTTATCTATCTATCATCTATCTATCTATCTATCTATCTATCTTATCATCTATCCATCTATCTATCTTATCATCTATCCATCTATCCATCTGTCTATCTATCTATCTTATCATCTATCCATCTATCCGTCTATCTATCTATCTATCTTATCTATCTATCTAACAATTTAAAATAACTGTTTTCTGTGTGAATATCTGTTAAAATGTAATATATTTCTGTGATCAAAGCTGAATTTTCAGCATCATTACTCCAGTCTCTTTAGTTTCACATGATCTTCAGAAATCATTCTAATATGCTGATAAACCATAGTCAATGTATTTTTTATATTAAATTTATTAATATTATTTTTTTATATAATTCAATTTGGTGTTTAGTTAATGTTTATTGATAGAAAATAACAAAATCAGAAAAATATGATTTAAAATTGTTTTAGACATGCCACTGACATGGTTGTAAAAATTGTAAACCGTGGTGAAGCACGTGAAGTTTCAGGGCCTATTTTGCACCCTATTCGTGGAAAGCGTCTATTATTCTGCTCCAGCTTTTTGTTCCTTCCACTCTGTTGCTCTTTCTCTCCACATTTTCCTTTCTGTGCATCACCCTACACCCTGTTCTGTTGTCCCATTTCCCCTCCTCCATCCTCTCACAGAACATGACAGATCATTACAGGCCAATCGTGCGCAGGAGAACTTTATTTGTCGCGGGATAAATCACTCTGACACAACTGGGCGAGGAGATTTCAGCCCGTCAGAGGGCCGGGGTAATGAGAGAGGGACAGAGGGCCTGTGAGAAGAAAACAACTTTCTCTTGTGTTGTTATTTCTTGCCGTAGGAGGCGGCGGCATCAGCCGTGGTGTCCTGCAGCCAGGAGAAGGAGAGCCTGCCGGAGAAAGGCCCCCCCGGCCCGGTAAAATCAGAACGAGAGGCTCTGCTCGTGGGTAAGCGTCAAGGGAAGGCACAACGGGCAACCAGAAGCTCTTCACAATTAATCTAGTCAGACACAAGACTGTAAAAAAAAAAACCTCTTCTCATTATTTTCATCATCCACAGCTATGTCTACTAGGGTGCAGGTGTTAATTGCCTGACCAAATGAGCCTCAAATGAGTCACCTCGGATGCTTTTAATGAGGAACTTTAACATGTCATCCACAGCACAGCCGGAGTGTGTGTGCATGAGAGAGAAGCTGCCAAAATCAATGGCCAAAAACTCTGCCTAGGTAGACATCTCGCTATATTTTGAGAAGCAGCCAGAAAGGAAGAAATAATTGACTCTGGACTGTTGAATTATTAAAAACGAATGCACACCCTGAGGTGGTACTGTGGCCACAAAGTGGAGAGGCGGTTACACGTCTGATTTTCAATCATTCAAAGATCCCGAGTCAATCACGTGTACATTTGTTTATGCCGAAAACATTTTTCAGGTTTTCAGAATGAGAAATTGATTGTCACGACATGAGAGGAAGATATAATCCAGATGCGGATGTGTGTAGTAAAGAACTCCTGGCATTCTCTGCATGTGTAATTGGCTTGGCACAGCATGTTTGCCAGGGTTTTATTTGTATTTTATTTGGCTTATTTGCCAGTCAAGTGACCAGAAAGATTGCTGACCGAGCTGTTGTCCAGCACATTGCTCTCTGATGAAGAAAGCAGCCTCAATAAGCTCTAGTGGAGTGCATGAGCCCTCCGTCAGCCTCTTTCCTTCCATCAGATCTGTTTGAGCTCATGCTGTGTTTGAGGAGCTCCTGTCAGAACTAATGAGGGAAGATACCATGCACACATCCAGATATAACACAGTCGAAATGTGTGTTGTGCGGTCACTCACTCTATATGTGCGTGCTAATGCCACAGTATAGTGAAGATGTTAAACGTATTGTTAGATGTTAAAGCCTACTGTATCATATTTGATACAAACATTTCTAAGGGCTCGAAAGGATCAAAACGTTGATGAAAAACCTGTTGCACAAAATCTGCTACATGATTGTCTTCTTATTGATAGTTTTACTTTTTTAGCAAGTAAAAGTCCTTTTAGTATAATTGTAAAAATGTCCACCTTCAGGTCATGAAACTGAAACATGAACCTTTTTTGCTGTGAAATCTTTAATGATTTCTATTAAGTGAACATAAGAATAACTATATTGTAATATTTCAACTTACTGGACTGAAACTTCTGATGTTTAATTGATTATGCATGCATAATTTAAAAAAAGAAAATCAAATTCAAATGTGAGTATCAGATATGCTCATCAGGCTTTTGGGGAACGTTTATTTGCTCATCTCTCATCATCATTGTGTTGCATTGCATTATATGTTTTGCCCCCCATAATGAAAACGACAGAGATTTGATCATAAAACTGAGCATTCAAATATCATCTTACTAAGACATTATTGGGAGATAAAGAGTGACAACTGATATTTATATGCATTTTGCAAGTAGTGTGTTATTCTGTTATAAAGATCTCATTGATTTACATTACAGACTATTGTTCTTTCCTCTTATTTTTGGCCATAAAAATATCAGCAGTTGCACCAAATTGTATATTTTGCTCAGTTATGGCCTCTGAATAAAATGTAGGTATTTTGTTTTTCCTTATGAGCTCCATATTCTCACTAGCCATAAAAGCCTGATGTATCAAATATTATACTCCAAAAAAAAAAAAGTTTTCTTAAAACTATTTTGTCTAAAGGTTCAATAAACACTTCTATTTTGAAAAAAAAAAACCGAATTAAAAATAATCATTCCCAGGTGTTTCTGGGTAATAGTAGGGGATTAGACTAGTCTTACAAGTTAGTCATATACAATTTTTTTTATATAAGACTTTTTTAAATATATATTTGAAGAGTTCATTTGCAAAAACCGATAACTCCATTTTTATTTTATTTTTTTCAGAAATCACATTTTATATTGCGCATTCCAAGTAATATCAATCAAACTGCGGTTGGGTTGTTTTTATTAAGTAATAGTAACTTAAACAAATACAGGTAATTTACAAAATTAAAGTTCATTGAATATATACAGTGGGTAAAATAATTATTTGATCCCCTGCTGATTTTGTAAGTTTGACCACTTACAAAAAAATTAAGGGTCTATAATTTTTATGGTAGGTTTATTTTATAGTGCCCGCAAGGTCCCCCAGCTCAAGAAGGCACATGTATAGGCCCGTCTGAACATCTAAATGATTCAGAGAAGGCTTGGGAGAAAGTGCTGTTGTCACATGAGAACAAAATTGAACTCTTTGGCATCAACTCGACTTGCTGTGTTTGGAGGGAGAGAAATGCTGACTATGACCCCAAGAACACCATCCCTACAGTCAAGCATGGAGGTGGAAACATTATGCTTTGGGGCTGTTTCTCTGCTATGGGTACAGGATGACTTCACCGCATTGAAGGACCGATGGACAGGGCCATGCACCGTAAAATTCTGGATGAGAACCTCCTTCTCTCAGCCAGAACACTGAAGATGGGTCATGGATGATGGGTCTTCCAGCATGACAATGACCCAAAATACCGCCAAGGCAACAAAGGAGTGGCTCAAAAAGAAGCACATTAAGGTTCATGGAGTGGCCTAGCCAGTCCCCAGACCTTAATTCTATAGAAAATCTGTGGAGTGAGCTGAAACTTTGAGTTGCCAAGAAACCTTAAGGATTTAGAGAGAATCTTTAAAGAGGAGTGGAACAAAATCCCTCCTGAGATGTGTGCAAACCTGGTGACCAACTACAAGACACGTCTTACCTCTGTGCTTGCCAACAAGAGTTTCTCCACCAAGTTTTGCTTGGGGATCAAATACTTATTTGACTCACTGAAATGCAAATCAATTTATAACCTTTGTACAGTGTTTTTTTTCTGGATTTTTTGCTTGATATTCTCTCTATCCGTTAAAATAAACCTACCATAAAAATTATAGACCCTTCATTTCTTTGTAAGTGGGCAAACTTACAAAATCAGTAGGGGATCAAATAATTATTTTCCCCACTGTATAATATGCTTACATAAAAACGTAGATTAGCGTAAATTGAATCCAAAAAATAAGACCGATTACCCCTTGGTTAACTGCTAGTTGGTCAGACTAGGTCTTTAGGGTGTGTTCACACTTGTCATGTTTGGTTCGATTAAAACGAACTCTGGTGCGATTGCTCTGTTAGTGCGGTTCGTATGAGTAAGTGTGAACGTTGCCGTCCGAAACCTGGTGCGCACCAAACAAGCGGACCGAATCCAAACGCACTCTGGTGCGGTTCAGTAATGACAAGATGCGACGCTATGCGACATGATTTGATGACGCAGAATGAGCGGTGAATCCCAAACTGTGTGAGCAGAGGGCAAACGTGGAGCAATGAGTGGCTTTTATGAGCTCTTCGTGAGTTCGCAGGTTGTGAAAATAAAATCATAAGTACACGCAGCAATGAGCGCGCTTAGTCCAGCAGACGGCATTAGGTGTGTTCGACTTAAAGGTGGGGTAAGTGATTTCTGGTAGCCATTTTGATTTCAAATCACCAAACAAACACGCCCCTACCCCAAAAGGGTCTCGCCCCTATTTTGATAGCTCCGCCCCACACATACGTACGCAACCCAGGCAACGATTATGGCGGAATCTGCTGTATTAAACATATTATCTTACTTTTCGGACACACTTTGGGAGCTGACGCTTGAAACAGACAGAGGAGGAGGTTTAGATGCTCCAAGCTTATAGGGTGTGGAAATGAATGTGTCTTTATCATAGCTGAAGGGAACGACAATACAATTGCAGATGAACAAACAAGCGAACATGACACATGAGCATATTCAAGCAAAAGCCAGCATATATTAGTTCTGTGAAACAAAGCAAAACCAATGTTACTCACCTATCGAGAAGAAACAAAGCAACCTCGGCGTCCGATCGCAGGCCTTCCGCTCCTTGAGTTCTCTCCAACGCTGGATAGCTGATCCGATATTTACATGGGTCTTAGTTCCTGCCTTATCGTAAGCCTTCTTTTATTCCGCAGACGTTTTCCTCTTTTGTTTTTTATCCGCCATCTCTATCTTTCTCGTCACTCGGCTCGCTAATGTCCGTCCTGTGCACCGAACGCTCTCTCCTCCGCATCATGAGTAGACACGCCCCTTACTGCTGATTGGCTATAAGTTTGTTTTGGTACTCGGCCCGACTCAGTTTTCTAAAGCGTTTTTTTTTTTATTCATACCCCACCTTTAAAGCGGCGCTGAGCAGACTGGGTGAATGGGTGCTTTGATGTCATACCGTTTTGGTCTGTGCAGCGCTGCTTTAAGTCGAACACAGCTTTTGTTTGGGGTGTTTGGTGAGTTCTGTCGCGAAATATACGTCATTCAAACTGACCAATCAGGTTGTGAACGTATCACTATGCCTTTAGGTTCGCTGTCAGAAATGCCAGTGTGAACACTTAGTGGCCCAGGACCAAATATATGGTTTTCTTTTTTGGTCCGGACCAAATGAACCAAGAGAACCGAACTACAAGTGTGAACACACCCTTAGACAGTGTCTTAACATAGGTTTATGCAACTGGCCCCTGGGCTTCCTCTATTGACCTCTATCTATCATGGTCTGTTAATAATCCCCACTTAACTGGCAACATCAGTCTACTCTAACCCAACCTTCACTGATAGCTGCTGTGTTTGTGGGTCCTAAAGAACTCTATATAATTGTAAAGAATTACTATTTGTTCCAAGCCGCCTGTTTAACTTCCGTGGTATTTTAATATTCACACTGCTCTTTTCCATTCAATGAATGTGAATGGAGATGGATGCTGTCAAGCTCAAAAATAAATTCTTAATTTGTGACCACAATATCTATTCGTCCTTCTGCATGTCACGTGCGTGGCTCCACACATTTGGCTCTTGCACTATTTTGCACTTATATTCTCGAGCCATGTGATGGCCAGTATATATATATATATATACGCAAATGAGAACTGAATATAGCGCACAAGTCATATGAGCTACTTTTATGATGCTTTCTGTTATTTTTGGAGGTTTACAGCATCTGTTCAGTGCTGATTTTCTAGTTTCTGCTAAACTTTTCATTTTGTGAAAAAAAGCACACAGGTTTGAATGGCATGAGGTAGAGTAAATAATGGCAGATTTTCATTTTTGGATGAAGTCCCCAGCACAGCTGCCAGCTCAGGGTGTTTGTTTAAACACATATAGCATTATATCTTCTAGCAGACATGCATGAATTAATAAAACATTGCGTTATGTTATAAAAGGTCCATTTTCTTTCACATAACTGTGTTTGGCTTCGGATCAATGTGTAAATGGAAAGACGTGGTAAACACTGCAATGAAACCATGTATAATATATAAACTATATCTATAGTCCATCAAGACTAATGGAATATTGACTGTGCGGCACCTGTGCGCTTCTCTCTGGAGAGCTGCTTTGCTTTCCTGATCAGAACATAATGCGGTCAGAATAATTGAGTTATCAGCGCGCACCTATCACATTCAAGCCAGAAGTGCTAATAGCAGCCGTTATTATTATTCCATATGTTTGAGTGTGTGAATGAAGCACTCAGGAGGCCGAAGAACAGCCTTGATTACGCCAAACAGCATCAAAACTGCAATTAAACACTCATAATCATTTAGAAAGTTCAAGAGGCAGAGTTAGCCGACATCCACTTCAGGGAAAACAACTCAAGTACTTGGAATCATTTGCAAATCAGTGAATCAGTGAAATATCAATTGCTGATGCAGGAGTGCTCTGCTCCAAAACCAAGCGAGCCGCCTACTTTTTAGGGCCTCATAGGCACACTGTCAACTTCAAGAATTATTCTGTCTTCTTAAGATACTTCATTTGGGCTGAGATATGAGGTAGTGTTGTATCTTATGCGGAGCAAGCAATGCCAAAATGCAACAAGAATAAATTTATCCAAGGTGGAGGAAATGTCAATACGTGCTATGTTTTGTAAAATAGTAAGTTTTTGAAATAGTCTTCACTGCTAATTTATGTTACTAAATTAAGAATATTTATACCTAACCAATTCTATGTTTATTCATTAATAAAATGTTTATATTTTAAATAAACATACAAATGCATAAATTGTGTGTGTGTGTGTGTGTGTGTGAGAGAGAGAGTGTGTGTGAGAGTGTGTGTGTGTGTGTGTGTTTTAAAGAAAACCACTGTAGAATTTAATTAATGGAAATACAATTTAAAAAAAATGTTTTTACTTATCTTTAAATATTGAGCTGATAGCCTACATTAGGTCTAGGATAGTGTGTTTATTTATAAATAAATAAATTGGCTGTCTGTGCAGTGTTTAAAATCAGTCATTTATGAGCTTCTGAAAGGTTTTGGAACAGATTTTGTATTTACAGGTGCATCTCAATAAATTAGAATGTCGTGGAAAAGTTCATTTATTTCACTGGAAAATCTATCAGTGATTCATCTTTGGCTTTGCTTCCACAGGAATCATCTCAACGTTTCTTCACGTCCATCCTTTTGGAGCCAGCATTGAATATATCTGCTCCTATTTACAGCGGCTGGACACTAAGGTATGAAACACACACATTTCACTCCTTTTATTTTTACTTCTCATTTTCAGTTAGTTATAATGATGCAATTTTATTTCGCTTCAGTAGTTTTCTTCTTTATAGCAGCCGTTCCATCTTACTATGATGACAGATACTGCACTTCATCAAACAAACTGCACCCTAAAACAATCACATCTTTAAAGTTTATGTTCAAAGTTGTATTTGTCACAATTATAAGAACACAGCTGCAGTGCTTACTGACAATTAAATGTGCTATAAATGTGTCAGATTTAGCAGTAAGATGTGACTATCATCACTCTGGCGTCTCCGGAGTCATTCTGATTCAGCGTCTTGAGTCATAAGGCCCACACAGAAGAACAATTAATCGCTGGATTCACCAAAGTTTGTGCTGCTCATGACAAAACCTTTGGATTATATTCAAGTGTTTCTTGTGAGGCAGTTGGGATCAACTTAAGTAGCCGCTTATTTCTTTTTTGGACCTTTGATCAGTGGTGGATGAAGCACACAAATCAAGTACTTGAGTAAAAGTACAGATACCCTAGTGAAATATGACTAGTAGAAGTACTTGTTTTCAGTTTTATGAGAAAAAGTAGAAAAACACTTGATTTGAATGCACTTAAGTATTAAAAGTAATTAGTACTGATCGATGAACCCAGTGTGTTATTTATATATATATATATATATATGTTTATATATATTAGTCAACACTAGTAAAGATTAGTGCATATTGTACATGTAATATGTATCGATTTGCAAATAAGCTCAATTTTATTACCAAAACTTTTTATACACTACTAAAACACCAAACTTTAATGTACTAAAATATCCAGCTACTGATAATTCAAGCTTGCAAACATGTATGTCATATAGTATTTAAAAAATAATAATATGCCATATAGTATTTAAAAAAAAGTCAGAAAAACAACATTTGTGTAAATATGTGTTTTTGTATCATTTGAAACGGCTACAGCGGTGGGTAAGATGCATCGGCATTAATTTGCATTATTTTACCAAAAATAACCAACCCCTTACAGACAGTGACACACAAATGCAGATTTAGTTCACAAATAACTGCATCATGACCCAAATATGATTTTCATTTACTGTACATAAATCAATACTAAAATTTGGCATTATTGACTTACTTTTTGCACCATCAGTCGCACGTACATTCCAGCTCAGACTATGGCTCATTTTGACCCGAGCATTGAATCATTGGCTGCGTTTACACTGGAAGTCTTAATGCACAGATCCGATCTTTTGACCATATCCGATTTTTTGGCACGTCTGTTGATTTCTTACCTATAAAAAGTTTCCATCTCAATAAAATGTGAGCGCATACAACACGCCGGCATTAAAACGCCATTAAAAATCTTTATGAGCAAACGTGTCGCCCTCGCATTGGGAGTTCTGTGGAGAATCGGATAGTGTGTTTGGACGTAGGTCGGCTGTCCAGATATCAGATGTGTATCCGATTCAAATCCACATTTGGAAGTGGCTCAGATCGGATGCAAAAAAATCGGATCTCGTGCGGGTTTTTGTGTTTACACGTGTGCAACAAATTCCGATCTGTGTAAGTTGTGAGCGAAAGATCTGATTTTTTGTGCCAGTGTAAACGCAGCCATTGAGTTGTTTAATTATGAACAGCTGCAAGTGAATCGTTTCGAGTGATTCGTGAATCAATTCAACTGGCTCATTGAAAAGAATCAGCACTTTCAAAAATGGGCCATCGTTCTCATGGTAAGCCCGATTCGGACAGTAATTGTTTCTCATGGTGACATTAGTGATTTTCACCACTTACAGGGGTTAGTCTGTGATTTTATTGCCGTCTGAATCCAGAATGCCGGTGTTTTTCTCCCACCACCCGCGTAAAAATCCCAGACCGAATTACCCACTGTTTTTTTGACAAACACCAAGGTCGTGTGGTAATTTAATTGCTGTCCGAATCCACATCTCTGAGTTTACAAGAAGAAATCGATCCAAAATTCAATGTTTAAATCCTTTTTGACCACTGCTGAGCACTGTACGGTAACTGTTGCACTTTGCTGTAATTTGCGTGCATATTTATTATTAAAAAACAAATACTGAAAAGTATTTACAAGAGCAATATTTCATAACTGCTCCACCTCAGTGAGTGGGAGCTGTTAAGAACAAAAAGTAAAAAGAGAAAAAAAGCATGTAATTATTTGATATGGGTCATTATTATGGCAGCAACGGGTATGCAGTACAATTTTAAAATGTATTATATAGGCCTAAAATTACATACATAAAAATATAAACTAAGCAGCGTTATGTTTACCTTATGTAAACAAGAAGTTTCTGCTAAAATTCACGTTTTTAATGACATCCATTATTTTGACAGATAAAATGCAAACCATTTCAACTATAGCGCGTCTGTTGTCCTGTTTTTAAACAGGAGATTTAAATAATCAAATAATAAATTGGATATTATTTAAATATGAATTTATTCGTATTATTCTATGCATATGACATTTTATGTACAGCAGACAGTCATGCGACTGGCCACGTGAGCAGCGCGTTCCCGGGTTCGCAGGATCACTGTGAATAAATCACCATTCGAATCCATGAGTTTTATCACTGAGGTGCCGTGGGAATTTATTTTTACAGACGTCCACATGAGAAACAATTACAGTCCGAATAGGGCTTCAGAGGGGATTGTGTTTTTTTTTCTGTTCGAAATGACTGGGAATAATATGTTTTTATGAAATATACTGGAGTATTATGCTCTGGAATGTTATGAAGTATAAGTTTCCCAAATTAAAAATACTTTGATAAAGTACATATACTCAAAAAATGTACTTCAAATGTCAAATGAATACTTTGTATACTTTGGGTGGACAGCACACACATATGGAAAGCTTATTTATTCAACTTTCAGATGATGTATACATCTCAATTTCAAAAAATTGACCCTTATGACTGGTTTTGTGGTCCAGGGTGACATATATATAATGCAAAAACATTTTTTTTTTACTAGTTTCCATTTTCATAAAAGTTTTCATTAGTGATTATAACCTTGACACACACACATGCACACAGCTTACTCACTCTGACTGAATGTATTTGCTGCTGTTTACAGCACCTGCACACACACACACACACACACACACACACACACACACACTGAACGTACGGCGGTCTGCTTGCCATTCTAATGTTCTGCTAAGTAAACAGCCCTTGAGCAGACAGAGAGAGCTCCCGGTGTGAAGCACAGCTCTCACACTCACAGCAGCACCACACACACGGTGTTTTCATCTTCCTGTTCTCAAATATAGTCCTTAAGCTTTTCCTGCCAAAATGTTTAATGCTGAAATAAAGCGCTCATCTTACTATAGCGCAGTGTTGATTACTCTTTATTTTCCTTCATCTCTCAGGCTTTATCTCGCTCTCTCGCTCTGCTTTCGCTGTCACACAGTGACTAATATACACTTACAGATGGAGGGTGAAAATGAGCCTCTGTATCGTTTCTGTTTTGAGTTGAAGCCCTCCGGCTGTGGATGCCCACGCTCTCGCTCTCCGCAGCACACACATGCCTTCATATCTTCATCAACACTCCCGCTTGCTTTCACTAAAAACAGTACACTCCAGTGGAAGGGTTTAATTGATAAAGCCCCGCTCGCATCACCCTGCCACACACACACACGTGGCTTTCACGATCATGTGAAGAACACCGTTCACATCACGTGTGCTCGGAGATTCAAGGTGTGCTTATATACAGTGGGGTCCTTAAAAATCTGAAACCAAATCAAAAATTCAAACCTGGGAAGTTTTAGTAAAATGCAGGGCAAATGTAAAAAAAAATGGAATGTATAAGATTCTGCAATATTTCTAGGTCAGTAATCAAAGTATATTTGTGACATCTGGCTTGATTATGAGTATCAAAGGAGTAATTCAGGTTGCATATAAATTAAGCACAATCAGCAGCATAATACTGATTAATAATTACACACATAATTTCTACTTATGCCTAATTTCTTTTATAAACAAACTCAATCACTTACAGGGGAATAAAATGGGTCCAATTTTAAAAGCAGAAATGAGAAGCATATCATTTTATGAAAGCGCTTACATTAATTCTTCTGTTGTTATTTTTTACCTATTAAACATATTGTTTACGTCTTGTGACTGTACTACTGAAACAGTGAGATTTTACAGGGTTTTTACTAGTTTTATGAAGGTAAATTTAAGAAATTAAGACCCATTTACAGATAAAAAATTTTTTTATATATATATATATAATAATAATAAATGTAACCATTAACAAATTGGCCCCATTCATTTCAGTTGTAAGTGCCTCACTCTAACCCAGATTTTTGCTTTTTTTTTAAATGACGAGTCATAATTAATCTTTGTGGTTATCAACATTATGCCACAAAAATGTTGAATGAGCTTAACTTGAATTTTACCCTAAATATGCCAACAATGGATGGACTTAAAAGACTGCCATTATATTATCTTGATATTACAATCATCACAATCACAGGCTATATTAACTGCCTTAGTAATGCGTTGCAGGATAGCATCATATTGTCTTTATAACAGATTGCGTGACTGGTATCATCTTAGAGCTGTGTTTTATTGTCATGTGACATTATTTTGTTGCTAGAGGAGGACAGACCCAGATGAGTCTGGTTTCCTTCCAGGTTTTTCTCCAACACCTCATCACTGATGGAGTTTTTTTCCCCCTTGAGACAGACATCTGCGGCTGCTCAAAGTGATTCAATAATGTTCTTGATTTAATGCAGTCTGTATCATTGAACCATGCATGTTCTGTAAAGCTGCTTTCAAGCAATCTGTGTTGTGAAAAGTGCTATACAAATGACATGAGTCTAATATTCACTAGTAGTCTCGGAGCTGCCTGATTGGTTTGGATGGGTCTAAAGGTCGCTGTTCTTGTTGTTTCAGATCAGCACCACAGAGGTGGAAACTCTTTTGGGTCGGCTGCCCTGCACGTTCAAGCAGGAGTTGACGGGTGTCGGGGCGAGTCTGGAGAAACGCTGGAAGTTCTGTGGGTTTGAGGGCATTAAGACGGCGTAGAGACACGGGTTTGGGTTCCTGCTAGAAAAACAAAAACGGCCGATGGACCGGAGGGGTCACAACCAATCACCTGCCAGCTCTCCGCGTCCATCCAGCCTCCCCATGAGATTCTAATCTCAGAAACACTCCAGACCTGGAGATCCTCAAGACTTTGGTGTGTGTGTGTAGTATGTTTTAGTATGTGAACACATGAGAGTGTGTGTGAATGGACCGTGCACTTGTACCACACAACGGAAATCTCATCGGGTAAAAATCAGGGTTTGCTGAACCGAGGACTT